CTAAAAATCTACTCTCTATATGATATAAACTAAAACTTCTACAAACTTTAGTGGGGAAAATTTGCCGTCTCCCAGATGAAGGCTTTCTATGATATAATAGCTAACATCTTCCCCCTGGCTTGGATAAACCACACAGTGACACTCCTGTTATTGACAATACAGATGATACTTGTTTGCTCAAAACACTCAGAGGGATGTTGTGAATGGTGTTCATTTTGCCACCAAGAAAATGTGTCCAAGAAGCTGTACGTGGTTTGTTCACTTTTAAAGTCCAAAATTACCATAGTGGGTAAATTTCCCTTAAGTCTCCTAATCCTAGGATGCAAATGCCTGAGTGCTATAGCTAGAGAGGAATTGAAATTAACCTAGAACTTTTCAACAGCGGTCTCAAAATAAATGAAGCTGTGTACACCTCTGACTTATAGTTGTTCTGCTTATATGTCCTCGGGGGAATGAAAAACTGCAACGTCTGTTAAATCCTTGAGCTTTCTTGGATGAATAACCCTTTAAAACATGACAACAGCTACACTGAGAATAGCTTACCCGAAGCTATCACAGAACCTCCAAGTAGGAATGTGGGTGGGGCCCTCACTACCTACCGGCAGGTTTCCACATTAAAGCCCAGTAGCATGAATGTTAAATGGTGGAGGAAGAATCAGGAGATTGCAATAAACAAAACCAGAAAAGAAAATACATCCACTTTGCAATATTGATTTCTAAGGTCGTGATAACCAAACTGTACCTTTCTTTAATAAGCTGGTAAAGATTTTCCTTCATGTACTCGAAGATAAAATATAGATGATCATTTTCCCTGATAACTTCTTTTAATTTGACTACATTGGCATGGTTGAGCTTCTTTAAAGACTAAAAGGCAAGAAAGAAAAACAAACAAAAAAAAATTGGAGAAAATCTGTTGTTAAAAAGGAAAGTAATACTTTGTATACTTAGGAAGAGACACCTAATTTTAGAACCGCAGAAATGCCGTGTTATATTTTATTGACGATTTAATAAGCAGTATTTCACTGAAATCGATAGTAACTGCACCTAGAAAAACTACTTCAATGAATTGAGTAGAAAGTAAATATTTGACCAACAACCAGTATTTCAGGCTACCCCCAGCACCAGGCAATGCACCAGGGCTATTTTAGGCCCACTCTCTTCAGATGGTAGAATTCAGGCTGTGGAAGGGACCAGAGGGGAGCCAATAAATGCTGAGGCTTTGATTTTTCTAACAAAAATGCAGCTGCGTTGGGCTGAGATCACTAGCTAACGGTCTTCAGGCACTTTGAATAGAAATTTGTTCACCAAAATTGAAGCTGATGGCTGAATTCTTTCAACTTTCTTCTGACCGTGTGTATCCCTAAGAGGTGGAGCCCGCCTTCCGGTGTAAGTTTTAATTAGAACATGCACAGAAGGAGGAGATACCTTATTGGAAAGAACCTGACGTGAGATGAGAAAAATCCCTTTACTTCTAAGAATAAAGGCAAAAAAGCGACACAGTGGCTGAGGAGCAAAATGGTAGCTCAGAAAATGGTGCGCAGACTTTTGGTCACTTTCAGCTTCACACACAGGCTTCTTGGGACACGTGAGTATATGTGAGTCCAACCACAGGCACACTTTCTTATTTGCATCCATAGTTCTGCCAGTGGTGACCAAATATACTTCTGCATCAGTGGACAGCAGCAGTCTAGTTCCTGTACAACAGCCAGAGACACCCAGCTGCTGGCTTGCTCACTGGACAACCAGAATCTGATAGACAGTCTGCTTCAAGGAAGCCTCCAAGTGCCACTTTGGCCAGTGAGATGAACTTTTTAATTCAAAAAGTCTTTTCCTCATACAGAAGTGAGTCCAATAATAATAAACTGTGAAAGCTCTCTTTATCTTTGAGTTTTCATTAAAAAGAAAATCCTTTTTATAAAACAAACAGAAATTTTGAAGATGATAGCATTAAAACGACTATCCCAATCTAGACAGATACTCAGTAATCGAGTAGCCAGGGGATCAGAGCTTGGGACAGTGCAACATGACCAAGTTACTGTGAGCAGCTGGGGGAGAGAGGAAATAAGGGCCGTGAATGAGAACAAAACAAGATTCTTCTGGAGCCTCCACCCCAAAGACAAGTTCCTGCCAAGGTACTCTCTGGCAGGGAATCCTGAGCTGTTGTGGCCAGATGATTCTAGAATGACCCAACCAGGCTGATTACTTCTTTTAGTTGGGTTGGATTCCTGGTTCTCTGTGAGTAACAAATATGCACATTGCTTAACGTGTAGGAATTTACTAAATGCTCGTGACTGTAGCCACCTCTATCTGCCTATTTCCTAAAAATGTTGCACAAGCAACACCTCTAATAGTTAACCAGCAAGGCGCCATGGGGCAAATTCATTCAGAGGAAAATGAAGTCAGTTTTAAAACTCTTCTAGAAGAGAATTCTAGGCGAGGAGTGAGGTGCCTTCACCTCTTACCTGAAGTGTGTTTTGTTTTTTTTAGTTTTTTTTGAGACAGAGCCTCAAGCTATCCCCCTGGGCAGAGTACCGTGGCACCACAGCTCACAGCAACCTCCAACTCCTGGGCTCAAGCGAGTCTCCTGCCTCAGCCTCCCAAGTAGCTGGGACTACAGGCGCCCGCCACAACGCCTGGCTATTTTTTTTGGTTGCAGCCATCATTGTTGTTTGGTGGCCTGGGCTGGATTCAAACCCACCACCTTAGGTGTATGTGGCTGGCGCCTTAGCCACTTGAGCCACAGGCGCCGAGCCGGAAGTGTGTTTTAAGCATGAACAACCGGCTCAAGTCTAAGAGTGGCTCATAGCTCTTGTTTCTAAGTGAGGCTTCTGAGTGTGTTAAAGTCTAGATTCGTTTACTATGAAAAGAGTTAATTTTGTGTGGGGGACTTCAAATGACGCACTTTATGGAGATATATTTTCCTGAAAGAAGAAATCCTATTTTGGCTCAGGAAAGGTTTCCAAAGGAGAGGGGGAGAGCCAGGTCAGTCCCAGCAGAGTGGGGAAGCAGAAGCAGCAAATTAAACCTGGTCATGATCCACACTCAGATGAAGCTTCCAGTGGGATCTTACCAGTTCTGCCTTCCTTGGGGACTGATCAACTGTTCCTAAACTATTAAAACTACAATGTACCGGGCTGAAGGATAGCCCAGGGCATGAGACACAGTGCCTGCTCTTGAGCAGGAAACAACCTAATTGGGAAGAGAGGGCATGGACACAAAATATCTGTAACAGAATAAGGAAGATCACGAGTGTCAAAGGGACGATAGAAAATGGACTCCCAGAGATACGTTAGGAATTTATCAGCAAACTCTGGGTGCTCAGTGACAGCATCGTGGAGATGTGACTTAAAGGAAGAAGAACACTGGGACAAGCTCGGTGGCAGGGAGCCGGCACGCCAGGAGGGAGGCCCATTACAGGCAAGGTGTGGAAACAGGAGCGGAGGAGGACTGTCCCAGTTAAGTTCTGGCTGGAGAACTGGGCAGGGAGCAAACTGTCTGGATGCCAGGCAGACACCACTGAGTTCTGGCAAATCTGGTAGCTTCGGGAGAGCTGCAGAGGGTGGTGCCTACTGTTATTAGGCTGAAAAGCAAACGGTCTGAGGGCAAGTGGTCTGAAGGGAGAAGTTTGGAAGGCATGATGAGGAGAGGAAAGACGTGGAGGCTCCAGGGGAGAGAGGAAAGAGACTTTGGGGTTAGATAGAATAGTGGCACATTTATAGACTGAAGAAAAGGAGCCAGAGGGAGGAGAATATACGGGAAGGACAGGGAAACTATTGGAGCGAGGATCTAAAGACGTGGGAAGTTAAGATTTTTTTGTTTGTTTGTTTTGAGACAGAACCTCAAGCCATCGCCCTGGGTAGCGTGCTGTGGTGTCACAGCTCATAGCAACCTCCAACTCCTGGGCTTAGCGATTCTCTTGCCTCAGCTTCCCAAGCAGCTGGGACTACAGGTGCCTGCCACAACGCCCAGCTATTTTTTGGTTGTAGTTGTCACTGTTTGGCAGGCCCAGGCCAAATTCCAACCCGCCAGCTCTGGTATATGGGGCTGCCGCCTTAGCCGCCCGAGCTACAGGTGCCGCCTTGGAAGTTAAGATGTTTTCTAAAGAAAAAAAAAAGCAGAGGAGCAGAATAGCCAGAATACTGGCAGTCTGAGACCTCAGCATGATGTCTAGAACATCAGGGCACCCTACAAGATGATGCCAGCAGGTCCCATCCCCCCATGACATCACAGGAGCAAGGACTCCCCTCCCTGCAACTGGCCATCAGACAGGCACAGTCTCCCTGAAGTCCACACGCTCTCCAGGGGTGACATGGGGATGTGCAGACAGGCAGCAACGGGGAGCAGAGATGAAGAAGGGACAATGGCGTGACGAGCACCACAGCACAGGGTCTCAGCCAGCAGCACATGGAAGATGGGGACAAGAGTCCTTCAGTCACCTTCCTTTGTCTTCTCTTCTGAGTTGGCAGGCAGAAAAGAAGGACCTTAGCAAGGAGGATGGAGAAATGACCCTTAGCAAGATTCCTCCCTTCGTCCTCCTTCCCTCCCTGGTATTCAGTGGCTGGCTGTGGCCCAGTGCTGCAAAGTCTGTGGGAAGGTCAGCATGGGCTGGGGATCCTGGTTGACAGGAGATGTGGCATCTGTGCAAGGAAGGAAGAAGAGTGGTATGTCTGGTGTCTATGACCTAGAGGGGCAGTTTCTTCAACTATCTCGCTGAGGCAGCCACTTAATTCCTAAGATAAGAGGTGCCTAGGGTTTTTCTAAACTGCATCTGTGAACAATCTCTTTTCCTTTAGAACTAATACAACCAGCTGTACAGAAAAGTAAAGGTTTATCATCTGAGCCTAGGACACCTCTCAGAACTTGATGACACAGAAAAAATGTGCTTGGATCATCCTTTGTTCATCTCTAATGTTTGTGGAGTTCCCAGAACTTTTATTCCCCAGGCCAGAGATTGGTAAATTATGACCCGTGAGTGAGATCCAGCCCACTATCTGTGCTGTCCACTAGCTAAGAATAATTTTTTACAGATAACAATTGCAATCAGTTTGATAATAGGGAAAATAAATGTTAAATCCCAATTAAGTTAGGTATTATGTCCCCTGCATCCTCCAAAAGAATATCAGTGTTTTCATTGGAAAACCTACAATATAAAAATTGTACTCTATTATTATTGTTGTTGTTATATTTTATAAATAAAGATTTTGTGATAATGTGTTTTCGCTCTTGTTATATATTTACATAATATCTTCAATGTGACCTTTGGCCTCAGAAGCATCAAAGATTTACTACTACCTGGCCTTTTGCATAAAAAAGTTTGCTGATCCCTAGACTGGTAATACCTCTTCCATATTACAAGACCCCCATGGGGAAAGAGGAAGGGTTTCGGTATTTCATCAGGTGTCTCAAACAGGGCTGGGTGAGAGCTCCAAGAGTGGACGAAGCACTACCCTAGTGCCTAAGTTAGAGCATTATGCTGTAAGCTCAAAATAGTCAATCCACTCTGCTGGAGACAAGAGGAGTATTGAAAGAGAATCAAGAAAAATGGGGTAAGGAGGAAAGGAAGGGAATAGTGAACCTAGTTAGGAGGCTGGTAAAAGTGAAGATATGTGCCCTACAATAGAGCAAATGCTTGACATAGCTGTGTACCTTCATCAGGGAATTCCCTCAAACAACAGAGTGCAAGTTATTACAGCAAGAAACAGAAATAAGGCTCAGCGCCTGTAGCACAGTGGTTACGGAGCCAGCCACATGCACTGAGGGTGGAGGGTCAAACCCAACTTGCGCCAGCTAAAACAACAATGACAACTACGACAAAAATATCGCCAGGCATTGTGGCGGGTGCCTGTAGTCCCAGCTACTTGGGAGGCCGAGGTAAGAGAATAGCTTAAGCCCAAGAGTTTGAGGTTGCTGTGAGCTGTGATGCCATGGCATTCTACTGCAACAGCTTGAGACTCTTTCTCAAAAAAAAAACAAAACAAAACAGAAATAAGTGCTGCTATTATATCTAGAAAAAAAACACTCAACAGATTTTTCCTTTATATTAATAATTAGGACAATCACCTTCAGAGGCAACAATTCACTAAATCAACACATGCAACTCATTTATATCAAAATATATTGACATAAGAGATCCATTAAAGATGGAAGTTAATAACCTACATTCACTACAACATTAACATAGTAACTGCCTGCTTGTGGCTATTAGCTGCATAATGTTATCACCTGCCCCTTTTTGGCATTAGTGAAAAATTCAAATGCAATGACTATATCAACTATAAATCTAAGCATGCGCGAAGCTATTTTAATCAGCCACACATGAATTAACACACTATTCCCCGGTGTATTAATAAATACCTTAACCTCCCGGAGATTCATGCATTCCTCCCAGGAATAAAACTTTCTTTTCATTCTAGAAGAGAAGAAAGAAACAAATAGCACACTTACTCTCAGTAACAGGCTAAGCTTTATTTTTTAAAAATATTTTCATTCTGAACTTAATGAGCAATGCTTAAAGTTGGTTTTAACTTCTTTCTATCAAATATTATACTAGCCCAAATGGCATTTATGTTCAAACCTGGCAGTGCAATCAATTCTGAGTCACAAACCTTCCCAGCAGTGGAGAAGTCCAATATGAAGAGCCCTGGACGGCTGCCTTGCTCTACCACTAACTAGCTAACCTTGCCATGGGGGAGGGAAATCCTCGGGCTGATTTTATCTAGACCAGGGCTGTCCAGTAGAACTTTCTGTATTGGTGGAAATGTTCTGTGCTGTCCAGTATGGTAAGACACATGGTGTCTGAGCACTTGGCACATGGCATGGGCAACATAAAAAACTAAATTTTGGTTAAATTAAAATGCCATATATAGTTACTTGCCACTAATCTAGACATAGAGTTCTAGACCCTCCAAGGGTCAGAGGTTGGCAAACTACACCCACGGGCCAAATCTATCTCAACTTCTGTTTTGGTAGACATCATGAACTAAGAAGGGTGTTGACATCTTTAAATGGTTGGGGCCAGCAAGTTAAACCAAGACTATTTCATGATACACGAAAATTATATGAAATTCAAGTTTCAGTTTCCAGAAATGAAGTTTTACTGG